ATCACAAGTGGTATCAAGTAACTCCTTCAGAGCTGTAGATGATTCCACCTGCATACGTTTTTGATTAAACAACCGTTTAAGAATACAATTTGTTAAATATTTCTTATTGTTATAACGCTTCTGTAATTGATTCCAGCACTGAATATAATTGGCATCAGTTACAGGTGTGTGACGAATCAATTGTTCAGCTTCACCGGAAAGGTGGCTCTTTAGGTAATGAAGCCTTTGTACGTTATCTAAAGATTCATTATTATGTACTAATGAGGTAAAGAGATCGTGGAATGTTGTCCATTCATCATATTTTCCTGAGAATATTGGAATGGATATTTTGGGCAACTTTACGAAAGAACTACTTGATTTATTAGTGGTGCTAGAAGTATTGGCTTGATTTAAATAATCTTTAGCTGAGCGAATTTTGTTGAGGGTAGTTTTCATTAAGCTTTTGTAAACAATATAAGTGTCCTCTGTAGCATCATAAATATCAACAACCCTTTGTGATATATCTTCTGCTTTGAAACGTTCGTATAACTTAGTATTATTTTCTTTAAACAATGCCCAATCTCTTTCTAATAATTCTTGTCTGGTTTCTATATACTCTATGCTTAACCTATCTTTACCACATTTTTTAAAATTAGTTAATCCCCTTGTTATAACATTTTGTTGATCTCTTAATACATTAATTAATCCTTCCATTTTATTATTTATTTGATTTTGTAAATAAATAAAATGTGTCTAAATTGATTTAACCTTGTAAATAACAATGTAAAGTTGATAAAACTAGGTATAAAACTTGTTTTTATTTAAAACAAAGTGTTTCAAATCTATGTTGACAAAATAAAATTCTAGAAATAATGCAAGTATCAAAACACCTTTGAAAGATTTACAAGTGTTTGGAAACACACAAAATCTGGTTGAAATCGGGCATAGGTTCCCCGTTCCCACGTTTTCTATAAATTATTCTAAGTCTATACTAACATGCACATAAATTGAAAAAAAATACTAAAATAAACTAAGTCTAAAATTGTCCTTAAAATTTTACAAGTCCAAGATAGTTCTTTACTTTTTCAAAGTTTAAATTGACGTTCGAATAGAGTTCAAAGTCACTCGATTTGTGGACGATGTAATTAAACAAAATTTACTCACGAAACTGCACTTCACCCAAACACTTTTGAACATGCAAGTGGCGCCTCCTGTGGCTGCCAGCGGTACTGCGCGTGACGTCCCCTGTGACGTCGCGTGATGGCTGCGTCCGCGTCACCTTGCTGCGTCCTCTGGTGTTGATCTGAGAGTGGCGCCCTCTGGTGCCCACTCCTTGAACTAATCCCGCCAAAGCTGGCTCAGCTCACCGCCTATGCTGGGTGAAGCTGTCGCCGCTAGTGCGGAGGACTCGTGTACCTCTCTGTAGCGATCCACTACAAGTACACGGAGAAGCGGGCCAGCGGTGGCCGCTTTGAATTCAAAAGGCCTGTCCAAACGATCCTGCTCGAAGGACCAATGTTAAATACCGGGATGGTATTTAGGGGAGATTGAGTTGACCTGAATTGTAAGCTAGCGGGAATTTTAAATAAAAGACCACAGCTGCGTACTGATCTCGGAGTCGATCCCCTGTTCGATCTCGTTTATTAAAAATAAAATCACATTGACCTATCCAAAATGCGGAAGCCAAACCCTAACGACTTCTAATTTGACGCCAACGCCATCTATCGAAGACTTGAAAGCTTTACAAAATATTAGATCACAAACAAGATGAAGATGAAGAATATGCATAATTACTAAAAAGCTGTTATTTTTACATTACAGACACTTCAATTAAGTATATTTATTTGTATAGATGTCGCCAAGCACCAGTGGACGCCTGCCGTTTTAAAGGTAAGAGGGCGTATATTTACGGCTATGATATTTTCTCTTAAGCTCTTGGGTAAATGGTATGGCCTGGTCTTTAATTATAGTATTGTGGAATTTTTGTTTAAACTCTGAACTTTTTTACTCCATCGGTGTGACCACCGTCCATCTGATGGTAAGTGGATGCTGTGGCCTATAGACATCTACATTCATCCTCGATTAAGAATAAAAATGCAGATGCGTTGTCAACCCTGAGGACTGAGTTGGGATGCCTTGTTTCTAGTTTAGTGTCTTCGATTCTCTACACTCACCATACGAAGCATAGCAGCACTATTCTGCTATTTTACGCTTATATTCTGTGAGAGCGTGGTTTTTCCGCGGTCGAGGTTACTCAATCGTGCTACAAACATAATATATCTGCAGCGAGGCTCTACCATGTATTGAATATGATTAATGAAAACGATAAAACAAGGGACTGACAACGATATGAATTTTAAGCTATTTAGTCTGCCAAAGCACTTTGAGGAAGCTGTCACTAACATCTCTCAGAAACACAGTGGCTTTTAAAAAATATTTTACTGAACTCTCTACTTTCAATTATAACATAAACACTAGCATTTAAAATAATCTACACTCTCACACTTGCCCAATGTGGGGATAAGTAAGTGATGCAGTCCAGGACTGTACAGTACTCTATGACAGAAACAGGCACCGAGCAGATTCCGTAAATGTTCCTTTTTTTGAATATGACTGCGACTTTTTTTTACATATATGACTTTTTTATATAGGATAGGGTGACAAAAGAGCACACAGTCCACCTGATGGTAAGTGGTTGCTGTGGCCCATAGACATCTACATCTATCCTCGATTATGAATCAAAATGCAGATTCGTTGTCACCCGTGAGAACTGATGGAATGCCTCGTTTCCAGTAAAAAAGGGCCTCCGGTTCTCTACTCTCATCATACGAAACACAGCAGCATTAAGCTACTATTTTACGCTGGTATTCTGTGAGAACGTGGTCCTTCCCCGGTCGAGCCGACCCATTCGTGCTACAAATATACTACTAATTATAACTGCAGCATATCTCTACCACGTATATATACGTTGGGAGAGATATGGTCAAATACGGAAACGCTAAACAGTTTTAAGATGTTAAGTCTCGTGGTATTCTGAGTCACTGGCTTAAAGTGATAGAGAGCACGAGGCTTAACGGCATCTGAAAATCGAGTACTTACCTAGCGTTTGAGTACGAGGGCGACACTGAAAGTTTTGGGATTGGCCACTTGTAATCGATATAATAAAAAAATAAATTCAAATTTTGAAAATGGAACTCTGCCAATATTATTTGTGTATGTATTTTATTAATTTGTCATTTATTTATGATTTGGCGGCAAATTGAAAATTGTCTGTGTCAGTTAAAAACATCTTAGGTCACGTCAGCATAAATTTAACGCGAGGAAATTTTCATACAACGATTTTTTGTGACTTTCGATGTCATTTAAGTCAACAAGAAAGTTATAATAGACTTCGATTGGCCTTTCGCGATGAAGCCCCATCTCATGCCACTGTTTACATCTGGTGTAATGCGTTTAAACGTGGTTGCACTAATCACACCGATGATCTGCGTTTGGGACTTCTACGGCGACGACTGAAGATAACATCAGTGTTGTGCGGCGTATGATAGAGACTAACAAAAGAGTGACTTATCAGCAGATTCAGACAAGCTTAGGCATCTGTATGAGTCAAGTGCACAAAATTCTCCATGAACATTTAGTGGTCAGGAAGCTTTGTGCCCGCTGGTTACCTTATAATTTGACAGGGGCCCAATAACTCCGTCGTGTTGATAGGTGTCGTAAAATGGCTCAAAGATTTTACGGAGGTGACTGAAATGCTGTGTTCGACATACTTAAGGGTGACGAAAGCTGGATTTAATGTTACGATCCTGAAAAGAGACAGTCTGCTATCTGGGTATTTTCTTCCGAGGAGTTGGCAACTAAACTGAAGAGAGGTCGAAGCGTTGGAAAAAAAATGGTGGCCTCGTTCTTCAGAAGGACAGGTCATTACGCAACAATATTTTAGAGGATCGTAAAAATGGTTACTGCAGAGTAGTACACTAACAAATGTTTGCCACTTGTCTTGGAAAAAGTTCTGGAGAAACGACCTCGCAGTAGGATTTGCCTTCACCGCGACAACGCCTCGTCGCACACCGCCAAGCAAACAATCGACAACTTGCCTATAGCTAATATACTGTCACCTACTACTATATTATATATAGCTATAGCCCCGACCTCGCACCCCGCGATTTTCATTTATTTCCGAAAATAAAAGAAAACTTCGACCAAACGTTTTATGGACGCCGAGGAAGCAGTGACTGCGTTTCAAAATGCCGTCTAAGAGCGAGTGGGCAAATTGCTTTTCTCAGTGGTTCTAATTTTAGTCAAAAGGACGCGTTAGGTGAATTTAATGTCCAGTTGTTTAATGTTGTTGGTAATTTTTGGCACGTGATACAAAATATTTAGTAGTAAATAAACATAATTCTACGCACAGAAATAGTACTAATATTATCTTATTATCACGATTTCTGTGATCCTACGTCACGTATCGCTCGATCGAGGAAAGGGCGCCCGGTGCTCAGACGCAATAACATTAGTAGTCTTCTGGCGTCAAGGAAACTGACTGCGTATTTGTTTATACATCAATATAGTACGTAAGCAATTTTTAACTTATTTAACAATTTTAAGAGATCAACTAATAAAACCTGGGAGCTGGGGATTTGTTATTAACCTACGTATGGTAATACGTATTCATAGGTATATAGGCAATACTGCATTCATAGGTAATTTTTCGCTTAGTCACATTAATTTACATCTATTAAAAATTTGTTTACATAGCAGTTACAATACACAAAGTATACGTGAGGTTTGAGATTAACAGTAGTCTTTTTTTTTCCAGAAACGACATACGTACGTACTTTTGTGTCACAATAATTACAAAATAAACCAAAACAGTCATTGTTTATGCCACGCCTGTTGCTGGAGAGATAAGGGACGTTATCAAGGAATGTAATACTCCCTAACGAGAGAACGTTAGATATTATTACTCAATAGTTTTTGATTGAGACTTATCGCGATACTATGTGGAGTAATTTTCTTTAATAATGGAGGATACAAAAGGTCGTAAGGTGGTCATCCGCGAAGCTAAGAAAGAGGATATGGTGGAGGTGGATAAAATGATACAGGTAAAGATACAATATTCAATTAAGTAGGTACTTATTTCTTTTTCAAAATAAATTAAATATTATAAGTTTGACAAATGTGTAATTTTTTAAATTTACGCGAACACTACACATTGAATAAAACTATATTTACGGATGTAATTAACTATTTTAACTTATTTGTAGTTCCCGACGTTTCGGGTGATATGTTTAACGTCCCAATGTCATAGTTAGCCCGGCTACCTTCAAATTTTGAATATTAATTTTTGGTCCGATCTACGCAGCGCCAGCTTACAGTATCTTGAAGTCTAGTCAAAAGTCAAAATTAAACCCAAGCCCAAGCATACCCCTGCAAGACTGTGTAATTTGTGCTTGTACGCTGTGCTGTATTATTTCCATGTAGTGCGGCCCTTTGATCTGTTTACTCCATATATATAAATCAAAAGTGCGGCGTATTAGAAACCACTGTCCCATTTAATATCATCGCAACATTTTACATTACAGCTACCTTTGATTTAATAAATACATTACACGCTCATGCAGGCGTCAATTAATTCCATTAGGTAATTATGATAAAAAGCGGATGGTGACTGATAGGCGTACATTACGCGCTCATGCAGGCGTCAATCACTGCATTACACAGTAGGTTATTCTTCAATCACAACCGTGATTGTTGTAAAACTGACAGCCTGCATGAGCGTGTAATGTACGCCTAAAGCCAAAGAGATTTAAATATAACTAAAGCTGGAGGATCCAAACGTGGTCTAAGTAAAGTCCAATGCCAAATAAATGTGGCAACCAAAAAATTAAGTTCATTTAAATTTGTTATGTGTCAACAATGTTGTCAATTTTTGGCCTAATGATTTAAAAAATAAACTTTTTATTTAAATTTTTTTAATAATTGTTTCTCCCGACAACGGCCACAAAATCCCGACATGTTCAAATTTTGACCAGATATTTTGATCTTCCTATCTGGCCACTCATATATATAAACTCGGAGCCGTGGTAGCTCAGAGGGTTAGCGTTCGCTGTAAATTTTACAATACGCGAGCAAACCGGATTTGATCCCCGCCAGCACCAATGAAATTGGTAATTTAAACAGTTTTAAGTACTGATTTACTACGTGCTCAGTGGTGAAGGAAAACATAGTGAGGAAACCTGCATGTCTGAGAAATAATAAAAAAATATTTCTAAGACATGTGAAGTTCGCCAACACGCACTGGGGCAGCGCGGCGGACACTTCCTTGCCCTAAAACCCTCTCAGAAATGAGAGGAGGCCTGTGCCCAGGAGTGGGACGTATATAGGCTGTAACTTTACTTTACTTTTTATCCGGTCACTGACCTCTATATATACAGCGTACTTGTATATATAGAGGTCAGTGTATCTGGCACTATCTGGCATTCCTAGTGTTAACTATAGTAAATATGTTATTTTTATAGACGGGGGAGGGGTGGGGGGGAACGAGCATGCGGCTCACCTGATGATAAGTGAATACCGGTGTCCATGAACCACTGCATCACCAGGGGAAAACTGGTGATCCAATTGCACAATTTCTCGGAAAGCCAATAAAAGGAAAGCTACCAAAAAAGCGCTTTGTGCCAAACCCGCTCGAAGGCCTTCACTTTTTCCAAACTAAATCTATGAGTAAGGTAACCCAGAAGATCAGCGAAGCGAGACTGACGGAAACCGTGCTGGTGGTCACTAATCGGCTGGTGTTCCTCAAGTTACCTCATGAGCTGGCAGTTTATGATGGTTTCCATTATTTTGGAAAACAAGGAGATGATGGCGATAGACCTGCAGTTAAACGGATCTGAGCCTTATTTAGGGATCGTGTACACCAAAGGTGTCTTCCGTGAGTTCGGGGCTACGCCTAGGGAGTAAGAGTACCTACCGGAAAAGACGCGTTTAAACCGGTGCCAACTCCGGAGCACACGCCTTCAGCACAATAGGTGGGACTCCATCAGGCTCACTCGACTTGTTGATGTCCAGGAGGAGGAGTGCATTGCGCACCGAGCGCTGTGTAGACGCAATCCAGCACCGTACGTTACACCTTAAAATGCTGCTGCTGATGATATAAATAAAGTATGCTGCTTGAGGTAAAATATAAAATATATTTAAAAACTGCTAATAGCTAAGGATGAGTACACGAACGCGCTGTGTGGCGATGCTATGTGAACTGATTCGATGAACAATAAAAATAAGTGTATGAGGCGAAAATGCTGATCGGGCGATATGTACGGTTGCACCGTACATGCTCCCGGGCGAGAAGATGGGCGAGATGACTATGAGATGAGCTAAACTAAAACATAGATGAGACCGACATAACACTTATCGGCTAATTTATAAGATGATTGCACGACATTATCTAACGAGTTTTTCATTTTAGTAAAATTGGGGAAGTGTTTTTATGCACTGATTGATTAGGCACACTTTGAATATCTTGATCGGACACACTTGCACAATGATCACTTTGTTCTGTTTTCACACACTCACTTTCACACTTCACATCTTTTAAACACACACTGTACACTGGTGTCACGCTGACCGCTGGCTGGAGCTGGGCGGGCGGGACGTCTCCACCTCGCGCGCACCCACGCAACGCACGCTGCTGCTAGTCCTGCCGCTACCAGTGAATAGATAGCGGCGTAATGATGGACATCATGATAGTCGAGGCTGTTCGTCTCGCTGACTATGCCGTCGGAAGCTGACTTTAACTCTTTAATCTGCCGGTCAATATTTTCTATAGCTTGTCCGAAATTCTCCGTAATGTTGATCGTATTGATATGTTGAATATGTTATTAGCCGGATCCACACCGGACGATCCAAAATGGATCGGCGATCCCGCGATCCGCGATCCAAGATCGTGATGCGTGGAGCGTGGATCGTTCTAGGTCGATCCAACAGCAATATTTTGTCATCCTGACTGACTGCTCCAACGCGCTCCTGCCGATCCATACTGAATCAGTTGAATTTTGTCTGGCTTGCAACACGTGCAACGACGGCGACGAATAGCCGTAGCAGCAGCAAGCTACATTTTACTTGTATATTTACGGCAAAAATTACGAAAACGAAAAAGACAGTATTGGGTTAAAACAATTTTTAAAAACCGGTTTAAATATGGGTCTCGACATTACAAAGAGTTAATTGATGATGGAGCTGTAGCTAATTTTGCACGAATGACTGCAAATCAATTTGACTTATTGTGTTCACTATTGGAGAACAAAATAAGAAAGAATGATACAAACTATCGTGATGCCATAACTTGTTAAGGAAAGACTACTAATAACATTGAGATTTTGTAGCAAGTGGAGATTCTTACGTCAGTCTACAGTATCTTTTCAGAGTGTCCAAACAGTCAATATCAAAAATTGTTCCTGAGGTTTGTGAAGCAATCATCGACGTTTTGAACAATTAGTAAAAGTAAGTGAAATTATATATTTAAAAGATTAAACTCTTTATTTCAAACTTAGCTTATACTTAATAATATATAAAAGTTACATATTAATTAATTAATTAAATTGGTGGTGATTGTAATGACGGCGAAGGCTGCCAAGTTGTCGAAGTACTAGAAGATGTTGATGCAAACGGAGTCATTGTTGATTCTGAAGGTCGTTATGTATGCAATGAGGTTGATGGAAGCTGAGTTGTTGTTGATTCTGAAGGTCGTTCTGTATATGATGAAGTTGTAGAGTAATATCCATAATTTTCTGGTCTGTATCTGCCTGTGTCAGCTTCAAAAATAATTTGAGATATGGCATGTTTTACATAAGTTAACGTTATATGATCATATTTTCGTAGTTCGGTAGCTATGTATTGTCCAAAAGCGGTGTATGAATCTGTCTCTGGTTGTTGTGGTTGAGCACATTGATGAAGTAGTTGAAATGCTTCCGAAATGTATTCATCTGTTATCATAATATCTTCGGAACCATGTGAAGATGTTTTTTTTTTCTTTTATTTTGATTCCTTTTTTTGGGTTTGAACAATGTGTTGGGTGTTTTGCACATTAGATTGGGCAGCAGGTTGTTCAAATGGTACAGAAGGTTCAGTTGGTATACTCTGATCATTCATATCTTGCATTTGATTATTAACATTCTCAGTTGTGTGATTGTCTACGTTTTCTAGAGCATTTTCATTGATAGCATGTTCTCCGCTACCAGTGGTGCTATTACTTTCCTCCTGTAACAACAACAATAACAAAACATATTAATCATAGTTACACTTTTTTCAGATGCCATCAAATGAAGAAGAGTGGCTCGCAGTGTCTCAGGAATTCGACGAAAAATGGAATTTTCCACATGTATTAGGAGCAATTGATGGTAACATGTCGTTTTGCAAGCGCCTTTTAATAGTGGCAATGACTATGATAACTATAAATTGTTTCCAAGTATTGTTCTTTTTGCATTAGTAGATGCAAATTATAGGTTCCTTTATGTGAATGTTGGGAGTAAGGTCAGAATGTCAGATGGAGACGTGTTTAAAAGCACAAAGCTATATGAGAAACTTGAAAAAAAAGGAGCTAAGCATCCCATCGGCAAAATATTTTGCAAGTTCCTTATAAAATTGAAGTACCATATTTTATACTTGATGATAAAGCTTTCCAATTAAATGAGTATACATTGAAACCGTATGAATGTGATCCAGAAAGGGGTTCGAGTAAACGAATATTCAATTACAGATTATCAAGAGCATGTAGAGTTGTAGAAAATGCGTTTGGAGTACTAAGCTCAAGTTACAGAGTTTTGCGTAAACCAATGCTGTTGGAGTTAGAAAAAGCAACTAAAGTCGTGCTAGCGACAGTTTACCTGTTTAACTATTTACGAAGTAATTCTAATTTAAGATCACCGGTATCTTTTGATACAACACAGAGGAATGGAGAAATAGTTCCTGGAAGCTGGCGAACGGAACAGGCACCAACATCACTACTACCGATAGATGCCATACCACGAAGAGCATCACAAAATGTCAAAGATATTCGGTCCCACTTAGCAAGACACTTTATAACAAACGGGGCCATTGTTTGGCA